ACTTGGTGTTGTCAGCACCATGCTCACCCAGTGAGCTAACCGGTCATCCCTATATGGGATCTGAACCCCTGGCCTTGGTGTTATCAGCACCACACTCTCCTGAGTGAGCCACGGGCCAGCCCTGGAATAAAGTTTTAACAAGACCCATGGCCACCCAGCTAAAGACTATGTTTCCGAAACTCCCTTGCAGCTAGGTGCAGCCATGTGAATGCATTCCAGCCAGTGGGCTGTGAGTGGGAAGCAAAGTGTGTCCCTTCTGAGTCTTACCCTTAAAGGGAATGGACATCTGTTCCCCTGGCTCCTTTTTTCCTTACTGTTTGGAGATGAGGAAACTCAAGCAGCCATCTTAGACTGCAAAGTGGAAGCCATGAGTCACACATGGTATGTGAGAAAGAAATAAATGTAAAGGTAGGAGTCAGAAGTGACTCTCTTTGTGAAACTGTGTGTGTGTGCTCTAGTACAGGGCTCTGGCTGCCTGGAGAGGGCGCCTCTTAATTAGTCACAGAAAGGCTCCAGGTGGGCTGATGGCTCTAGAATTGTGCTGTCCTATAAAAATATAATGTGAGCCACAAATGTCAGCCTTATCTGTAATTTAAAATTTTCTAGTAGCAATAAAAAAAAAAGGAACAGATGAAATGATAATGGTAACATAACTAATAATGCAATTATTATATATTTTATTAAAATCAATGATATTAGTGATATATTAATATAATATAGTCATAGTGATATTATTATACATATTATATTAATACATATAATGATATTTAATATATACTAACATAATATATTTTGCTTAACCCAATTTTTCCAAAATATTATTTTAACATGTTATCAATATAAAAATTATTAAGATCTTTTATGATTTTCTTTGTACTAAGTCTTTGAAATCTGGTATGTGTGTTATACTCACAGCCCTTGTCAATTTGAACTCACTGTATTTTGAGCCTTCAGAGGCCACATGTGGCTGGCGGGCTGCCATATTGGGCAGGGCACATCTGGATCTTGAAGAGGATGAAGAGACACCAGCATAAAGGTTACAAACACGGAGAATGTGTGTACACACTGCCCTGTCATTTCACTGCTAGAGAGTCATCTGCAATGAACACTTGTGTGCAGGTCCTAGGATGTATGTCCAAGGGTGCTTGCTGTGGTGTGAACAAAAATATTGGAAACCACCTAAAATTTCACCAGTTGGGAAGTGATTAAATAAACAGGTTTCAAACTAACAAAGGAGTTATCATGCTGTTTAAACAGAACAAGACATTTTGAAATGTACTTACGAAGCACATTATTCTGAAAATAAAAAGGGATAAAGTACATGATTGAAACAATTGATGAAATTCAGTGAGGACCTGGATTACATAACAGTGTTGCATCAGTGTTACATTTCCTTATTTCAATAGCTATACTGTGGTTATGACAGAGAATATCTTCTCGTTCTTAAGAGACACACAATGAAGAATTTAGGACAAAGGGGCACGATGTTTCCACCTTCCTCTCAAATGATTCAGGGGAAGATGTAAACAGATGTAACTCTAGCTATAGTTAAGGGTGTATACCTCCTGTATCAGTTTCCGACGGCTCGCCAGCTCCCACAATCGCATGAGCCCATTTCTTAAAACGTCTCTCTCTTCCTCTCTCTCTCTGTCTTCTCTATTGGTTCTTCTCTCTGGACCACCCTGACTGATATACACGCCCCCCACCCCCCATAAATACGTGGTGGAAGCATACTAAAGCACGTGGACAAATGTTAACAATGCATCCATCTGGGTGAAGGGAATACAGGGTTGCTTTAACTATTGCAACTTCTCGTTCAGTTTGAAATTCCATCAAAATAAAAAGTTACAAAACAATTATCTGAGAAGGGGTTCAAAGCTTCATCAAGGGTCCAAGGCATAGAAAATGTTAAGATCCCATGCTTTAAGGCGGGATGCAGCTTTGGTCCCAAATCCTGAAAGTCAAGTGGGTGTGGCCTGGCCTCCTGGGTCGCCCTGCTCCGGCGCCCCCCTGAGGCTAGGGTGAGAACAACATCCCCTTCTTACGACGCCCCAAATCCCCATCAATAGACCTTCAAAACCCTTGCTGAGCACCGTAGGCCACATGTATGGCTTCATTTAGTGGAACTAAACCTTGCAGAACATCGTGTACCCACATTTCCATCTCAAAACACAAACACCGCGTTTATAAAAGTCTTGGTGAACGCACTCCAACTGTGAATTCAGAAGGTGGCAGGTGGTGGACATTTCCATGCCTTTCTTTTTTTTCTTTCTTTTTTTTCTGGGGGTGGAGGGAAGGGAGTGCATTTCTGGATTGTTGGAATGTTTTCAACGAGCAGGGATTACTTTTTCAATGAAAATAAAACTAGATTTTTTTTAACATTGAAGATTGCTGTAGAAAAATACTGTGGGGAAGGAGGTGGGTGATTATTGTGGAGTTGCAGAACAGTGTGGGAAAAATCGAGCCTGTTTCTGCAATCAGCGTCACAATGACACCCATTTGTTGTAGGCTGAAAAATGGCCCCCATGAAGTCCAAGTCCTACTTCCCAGAAGCTGAGAATGTGATCTCACATGGCAAAAGGTACTTTGCAGATGTGATTAAGTTAAGGATCTTGAGATCGAAAGATGATCCTGGTAAATCCGGATTTAATCACAAGGGTCATGATATGAGGGCGGCAGAGGGAGAAGTGAGACACACAGTGGAGGAGGAGGCAGTGCAATCTCAGAGGCAGAGACTGGAGTGATGGAGCCATAAGTCAAGGATTACGAAGCTGGAAGAGGCAAGGAACGGACTCTTCCCTGGATTCTCTGGAGGAAACATGGCCCTGCCAACTTCTTGATTTTGGACTTTTGGCCTCCAGAACTGTGTGAGAACAAATTTCTGTTGTTTTAAGCCACCCATTTCATGGCAATTTGTTACAGCGGCCACAGGAAAGTAATACAAAATGCTTTTCACCCAGCATGTCTCTAAGATAACCTAGAATGAAGCTGAAAAGGATGCGACATGGACCCCATTTCCAAGTCGGATGGTTGTGGCTTGTTGGGGGAGAGGTGCCGTCTCCTGACAACATCAAAACCTTAGAAGGAAGATTTAATAGCAAAATGTACCCAAGTGCTGGGCCACCTCCCCAGGCCTGCTTGGCCTCTCTGGGCCTCCAAGCAACCTGGCTGGGAGGCTGGGGATCACAATCCCTGCTCTCTAGGGCCCCATGAGAGTTTAAGCCAACTGGACCCCTGAGCTTTTCCCCAGAAGCCTAAGGCTTTAGAAGGAAAGAGAGAGATGGCCTCGGATGGGGAAACCAAGGCCAAGAGAGGGGCTGAGCCCAGACAGGGGCGGGAGCCTCTTTGAACTGGCTTTATCCCTTCTTGGACCAGGAACTCTCTCAGTTTTCTGAGCCCTGGCCTCCTTCCTCTGGCTGGCAGGGGACGTTTACAATCCTCGGGTGTGTGCCCACAGAGGGAGCCCCAGACACGGTGACCAGTGCGCTGACCAATGAGGACGCCAGAGAGGAAAGACGGGTTATTTCCTCCCTCCTATCTGCACCAGCCCTTGGGGCTTTAAAAGCCACAGTCTGGGGGCAAGAAGGACCTTCGATCGGGGAGCCCAAACAGACAGGAGGGATCATCGGGGAGCCCAGGAGACCAGAATATGGTGAGTCTCGGAAGGGAACAGGTGCAGGAGCCCTGTCACCTCCCATCTCTGCTCCTGTGGGTCCTTTTCCCTGTCCCCAACTCTCCCCTTCTGACTCTGTCTCTCCCTTTCCTTCCTCCCACTCCCTGTATTCAATCTACCCCCTTCTCTCCTCACCCTCATCCCAGACTCTCACAGTCCAGGGTTGGGATGTAGCCAAGGAATAACATTGTCAAGGGGTTGTGGGAGCGACTGCAAGCTCACAGGGCTGGGGACCTGAGACGTTTCCTCAGGGGAGGAAACTCTTCAGTTGGGTCTTGGAAGATGACTAAGAATTCCACAAGCAGAGAAACCCAGAAAAGCCTTTCCTGGCAGCAGGAATGTCAGGGGCCCAGGTTGGGAGGCTGGAAAGAGGTAGTTTGGAAGAATGATAAAGTTACTGATGTGGTGTTTCAGATGTTCTAATTCTAGAGATGGGGAAACTGAGGCCCCAGCAGGCACAGGGATGGCTTGGGTCATTCAGTGGTGGGTGGAAGAACTGGGTTATCCCATGGATTCTGTGAGTCTCGAGGGATTTTGTGTGTCCCCAGCGGACACCAGGGTTTCCATTCTGTACCTGCGTCCCTGTTGGGGCCACTGCACCAGAAGAGCTGTGATTTAGCACCTGCTGTCACAGAGGGTATTGCCTTGCTTCATCTGCGTGAAAGAGGAAATGGAAGGGGCCGGCCCGTGGCTCACTCAGGAGAGTATGGTGCTGACAACATCAGTGAGGTGCTGACAACACCAAGGCCACGGGTTCGGATCCCATATAGGGATGGCCGGTTTGCTCACTGGCTGAGCGTGGTGCTGACAACACCAAGTCAAGGGTTAAGATCCCCTTACCGGTCATCTTTAAAAAAAAAAAAAAGAGGAAATGGAAAACTAGTCGAGTGGGCCAGGGAGGGGTGTGATGTTGCTTCATTCCACCCTTGAGATCCGACTTGGGCAACTTTCAGAATAGGAGCAACAATTTGCTTTTTTTTTTTATTTCCATAAAATATGCCAAAGTACCAAAGGGTATTCAGTGAAAAGCAGCTCTCCCTGCCGACCCCAGAGCCTCTGACTGTTGTCGTTGCCCCCAGGAGCAGTTTATGGATAGCAGTTTCTAGTAGATCCTTCCAGAAATGGTCCACAGATGCCCATGAGCGGACGCTTAGGGACAAAGTAAGGGGTAGCTTGGTGTGGGGGACCTGAAACCAACTTCGACTTCTGTCTCTCCTGTGAGACTTGTCCTGTCTGGGCTTCCTGCTCCTTTTTAAGGCGAGGATCGTAAGAGAACCTATGTGGCCAGCTCCAAGCAAACAAACAAACAAACAACAACAACAACAACAAACCCGCAGAACCTACATCATAGGCTAGTTGAGAGAACTAAATGAGGTAGTGCATGGAAAGCTCTGACAACAGTGCCTGGCATACGACTGGTGCCCAGTGGGTGTGACATGTCTGTCCTCTCTCCCCCTTGCAAATAGAAGTACGTTTTATACATTATTCTACACCTTGCTTTTTTTTCACAAAACATATTGTTAATCAGTGTTTATTGAGTGCTTACTGCATACCAGTCATTTTGCTAAGCACTTGACATTTATTAATTTCTCTTTTGGTGGCTGGCTGGCAAGGGGACCCAAACCCTTCACCCTGGCATTGCCAGCACCACGCTGTCCCCAGTGAGCTAACTGGCCAGCCCTACATTTAGCAATTTCATATTAACCTATGGGGAAGGTACTTCATCGCCACGTATCTCAAGGGAGAGGCCTCCTCCTTTTTATCAGCTGTGTAATATTCCAGTGGGAGGTTCCATTCCCTGTCAGTGTAGACTTAGGTTGCTTCCAAGATTTTGTCTTTAAAAACTAAAATTGTCCTTCTACTTTCACCTTGGGACTAGTGATTGGGTTTCCAGAATTGCGAATGTTGAATCCAAGGCATGGCCAATTTTTATTTTAACAGATAATGCCAAAAGTTGTACCAATTTGAAAGACCCAAGTGCATGAGATTACCTGTTTGTCCACACCCTCATTTGCACAGTTTTACCAAACATTTTTTGTCTTTGAATTTGAGAGGCAGTTCACTGCATCTTCAAAGAATATGGAGGCTTATCTTTTTCACTTGATTTTTATTTTTATTCATTTTTTATTTTTATTTTTTCCTTTTTGTCTTTTTTTGTGACCGGCAACGGATCGCAACCCT